TCTGGAGACATGGTTCAACATTCAGCTACGACTCCTCCTGTTAGAGTTGACGCCTTTCCTTTGAAAGCCACATTGTGATCATGAAGAAAAATCTGAGGTGATGTCCTTTTGCAATTTCTAGCTTTGCTGTGTAGGTTTCAGTCACAATGACTGCATGCATCTCTGACAAAATACGTCTGCGTGAATATTACAGACAATAACGGGGAAATACGCATCGACTGTCTGGCTACCAAACAAGTAGCTGAAAGCCGGCGTGGTTAATAAGCAGATACAAGAGATCATAGGGTTCATTTTTTTTTGTTGGATTATCTGGCACAGAATGTCAGCTGTACTTGTGAATATCAGATGGTGAAAAACATTTTTGTGCCACGGTTCTCATCTCACATACAGGGATGTAACGAAGGAATAATTCTTTGGGAACAAATGTCATTATCGGGTTGAGATCAGATTCAGTCCTTTAGGTTTCAGCCCAGCTCTGGTGGCTATCTGTGGAAAGAGTCATGCTGAACTTTAATGAATAAAAAACAAATGCAAAAATTCAAGTGGCATAGATACAAATTATATACATTTATTTTTATTCATTTTAAATAACATTCTTCTGTATAAATTCTGACATATATTCAAATCATACACTTTTTTTTAGAAATGCATTTGTAAGCATAGCTTATGCTTAAGATACGCCTTGTTAGGATGTGTATAAGATTGATGGGTTTCAGTTGGGAGCAAGTACAACTTTTAAGACCCACATTTTTCTTATTTTAATCCATCCCTCTGACACGTGAAGAGCGGAGTCCTGTGGGAGCTCGTTTTAAAACTTCATTTTAAAGCGAAATGTATTTTTAGGATTCAATCTTACATCATTTGCTTAAAGGAGACTGTGCAAACTTTCTGCCACTTTTACATGGCACGTAACATTTAAGATAAAGATGCTGTACAGCAGTGGTTAACTGGCCCAAGATACCTGAAGGATGCTGAATATGTCCCCTCCTCTTTCACGAACGGTTTCCAGTGTGCTAAGTTTGCTCAGCCTGGTCCAAGGGAATTATCATTCCAATGGATGACACCTCCTGACAGCTCCCCAGGGCTACCGCTCCACAGTTATTTCTAGCTACAGAGGTTCATAAGATTTGAGATCATCTATTCACGTTAACCTAATCACTTTTTTGCAAGTCTGTTGCACTCTGTGCTTTCCAAATGCTCTCCTAAGTTGTGAGCCATCCAGGCTGCCCCATGCCCTTGACACATCATTGCTTTTTGCCCTTTTTCCACTCTGTTATATCCTCTCTCCTTCAGTTACTTGACTGTGGAGCTGAACTCACCCCATCCAGACCAGCTGGGTCCACAGAGCCCTCACGACCCTGAGGAACGTGCCTCAAGAGCTGGTTTTCCACAGGCACCCAAGCCCTCACCTGCCTGGTCGTACCTTCTCTATGCTCTAAAGCGACCGTACCACGCCACCGACCGCCTTTCTCCAGACCAGCCCCACCACTGCAGCCCCACACCACCATGGCCAGTCAGGTGCTGATGCACAGTGGCCCTTCAGGAACGCTTTGTGGATCTGTATTGCCACGTCAGCCCTAGAAGTCACCTAGATGCCCTTCTCTTGGCTTGCTAGCTTCTGAGCTGGCCCCCAGTGCAGCCGGCTAAATCCATTTCTGGTTTACCTGCGCACACCCCGACGTGCCATAGGGCAAACCTCAGCATCTGGGAAGCTTCATGACAAGTTATAACGGATGGCAGGTCACTGGTGCTGGTGGCCTTTACTACTCTGGCCCAGGTATTTTAGCTCTGCACCCCCTCAAAATACAATGCCAGCCTAAGCTGAGACAGAACTAGCTCAGCTTCTTCCTCACCTCCTGTGGTGCCCAGGAGCAGCAACACAACTGAGGGAGAGAGCAAGGAGGATCTAATCTCACAAAGTCAAGCAAAGCTGTTTGTACTTTCTTTGCTGAGGCATCGATCTCCTTTTACAAACCTCGTCCCTCTATGCCAAAGGCCTGAGTGGCTGGAGATGGCTGCTGTCTTCCTGCCGAGTCATTTTGCCATCTGACAAGCGTTGTCTGGGTGCCACAGCCTTGCTGTGCTCCAGTCCCTGCTAAAGAACGTCCCGTGCTCTCCTCCGCTGAGCAAACCCAGGCTGCCAGGTGCCCTGTGCCCAGCCAAGCTTCCCAGCACATCTGCAGGGGCCATCCCGATCCCTTCAGCATCCAGGTGTGCGACCCACAGACCACAGCGTGGCAGCACCGCCCTCCCTCGCAGGCTGACTGTGAGGCACCCTGACCTCCTCCTCTTCTCCAACCCAAGGCTCAAACACAAAGTGTTGAGATTAACTTGGAGGTCAGAAGCAGCCCAGATGCCAAAACCTCCCGTGCCGTGGTAGGCACGGACTACGATGGTCCAGCATCCAAACTCCCACTCTGGGTTTGCAGATGGTCATTATTTCTACAGTGAGAGAAAAATCAAAGCCTGTTCCTGTCACAAAGCAGCCTACAGTCATGCCAAAATTTGAGGAAGAGATGTTTTGTGGCAAAGTTCTACTAAAATATTTTGGAAACGTTAAACAATCTGTCCTTCACTTTGCCTGCTAGCGTTAGTCCCAGAAGCTCACACTTCCTCAGTTTCCTTTCCCCACACTGTGAAGTGACCAAGTGCAAGTGTATCACTAAATCCGCGCTGCCTAAATAATTAAAAATGTTAGGAAAGTTCCCATTTTGTCACCACTCTGCTCTTTGAAAGTTTGATGAGGATCACCAATATCTAGATTTTCTCTTCCAGTCCTCCTCCATCTCATAACTAAAAATAACATTGCTCAGAATCACATCAGCCAAATTTATCACCCAAACGATGGAACCTCACCCAGGCCCACAGCAGGCAACAGGAGCTTTTCCATCAGCTCAGGCCTAAATGCAATATCACATTCTGCCCTCACCGTTTCCCCTTGGTCATCCTCAACTCTTCCTTCTTACTTCTCTTGCCTCATCTTTAAATCAGGCAGCAAGTTTCTGAGGAAGAAATGGCATCTTTGTGCATTCATTTAAAGCACCCATTCCCCCTTCCCCCCTCCCCCCCAATCTCCAATGATAAGAAAAGCCTCCATGCAGCACCAGAAAGCAAATAAATAATCACCACATTCTTCCTACCCTTGAGAAATCTTTACTTTTGCCTGGCTCTGAGGATGCATCAGTCAGCTCCTGCTGACCTTCCGCAGGTACTTCATTTATCCTCAGCACCAGTCGCTTGCAAAGCACCAACACGCACAGCAATGCAGCTTTAGTTCTGAGATTGGTCACGAGTTAGGTGAAATATTTGTTTCATGCCCTGCTTAAATGTAGTGGTGTTGATTTTCATGGGCCAGACCTGGCAGCTCTGGCACGGAGAGGACACGGCGCCTGCCTCGAGGTGGGTACCAAGCGAGGAGCCCCGTGGTGCCACCTCCCTGTGCTGTCCTTTAGTTCTCCCTCCAACAGCCCACCAGCCTCCCACAAAAATCGAGGGAATCTGTAAAACCTCAAGTCCCCTGTAGGGTTTTTTTTGACTGCCGATTCCCCACCACCATCTTGTGCTACATAAATTTCCTGAAAGCACCCATGCACTTTGAGCTTTAAAGCCTAGAAGTGCAGGTCGGCTCTTGCGAGCTCTTCAGCTGAAAGCCAAAATTTTCCACCCCAGTCCGGAGGATTTTTTGCTTTTGCCATTCAAGAGGCCAGGAGGTTGTGCTCAGCCCTCCGGCAAAGCCCCCCGTCACCACGTCAGCGCAAGAGAGATGGCAACGAGACGCACCCGCACGATGAGCACCCGCTTCAGAAAAGCTCGGCCACCGAGATCCGGCTCTCAATGCATCCATGACAGCATATTTGCATTTTGTATGGGGATTGAAAAGCAAGTAACAGAATGGTACATCTGATTTTTTGGACGCCTACTAGGCCCTAGTCATGGCAACACTGGTATTCACTCTATATTTAAAGGAACGGGAAAATTTGACAGATGCAAGTAGGGAGCACTCACATTTTCTCTAAAAAATGACACTAGAAGAAAAGCTTTAAGCAGTCGGTGTTTGCCAGAGTCCCAGCTCCAACAATATTGCCATCTAATTTACAGTATTTTAAACAATCCTTTTTTTTTTCATTGTAAACGCCACTAGCCGCTGTACAATTAAAATCTAGATGATAAAATATGACTTGGGGAACAGGGGAGGTTGGGGACGGGTTCGTGGTTTTGTCATTGGGGTTTTTTTTGGTTGGTTGGTTGTCTTTTTTACAAATAATTACAAATACAATTCAAAGAAGATATATTACATTTTATATACACAACACACCATTTCTGTCAGGGTAGGGTATTAAGCCTAGCTTTTATTTTTACACGGCAACCCTGAGATGTCTTGTCATCTTCCCTTGCACAGAAACGATACAAGTTCATTAACTCCTCCTAGAAAAAGGATTGCTATGTTTTAATAGCATCACCACCCTGTATAAATACTCAGAAAGGGAAAAGCTTAGCCCCTTCCCTAACTCCAATTTTTTTTTCCTGTTTCCCTGCTTAGTAGGAACTGATAATGGTAACTTTTTCAAGTGTGCAACTCTCTCCTCTACTTGCCTTTCTGGTAGTACAGTGAACAACTATTTCCCTTTTTTGTCCTCCTTTTTGAGCAAATTTATATCAGGAACTAATATGAAGCCTTGACAAAGGTCTGTTTCCTGAAAATCCACTGTTAATTCATGAGCCACTCGTCAAACTAAAGGATGCAGACATTAAGTGTTAGGCTGGCTGCAAATCCAGTAGCTTCTGATTAATCATGGGCTACAGCTTTCTCATCCCACCATCTCTTCATAAAAAAAAAAAAATTTCCGATCAGCATACTCAAGTCTTTATCAACAGCGAATTCGATGGATCTTTATGGAGAACAGGACACTGAATTCATTTCACCACATTACCTGGAATTCGGATGTACTACCCTTGTCTGTTCACCTGCAAGCTATAGCATGCCCAGCATAAGAGTATCTGAAGAGCAAATTCCTCTGCGTGGAGCCTTGGCACGGATCCTGATACCCCTCCAACACGCCCCGTCACTGTTAGAAGCCAACTTTGGAACAGCTGGATCGTTTCTAAGCTTTATAATTGTGCATGGGAGTTGTCAGCGTCAGCTGTCCGTTCGGTGCGACTTCATTCCCATCATCTTCCAAGAGCCCCGAGACATCGGCGTTGGGTATGCTGTCGTGGTAGCTGCTAAAGCTGATGTTGTCCTCTTTGAGTTCAATGGTCCAAAAAGGAGCGTTGAGTTTTCTGTTTTGATACTCGCGGTACATGTAGACGGCACCCACAAAGCCCATCAGTAGGACCACGACAATGATGATAACTGTCAAAATAATTATGTTAAACTGAGTCCACGAAACATCTGCAAATGCAGACGTGCTGTTGTCAGAGGAACTTATAGGAAATATAGTCTGTATAGTTGTTGGGGATAATGTATAGTTGATCACTGCCGTTGAAAATGACGTTGCCTTGCTGGCATTTGGAGCAGAAGTTGTTAATTCCCTTGTTTCTGGGACACGAGTGGCTTCTACAAAACAATCAAAAATAATCAATAAAAATATGCTGAACAGGAACCAAACACAAACATAAGAGATTTGACATTTACGTCACAGTTATTACAGCCATCAAGTGCTAAAGCTGGTATTTTTTTCAAAATAGTTTACAAAAACAGTAACCAGGCCTGGGCTTGGTTTTTAAATATTTCTGGTGGGCCAAGTGCTCATTGACTGCAGCATTCCTATGAAAAGCTGGTGACGGAGAGGTGCAGTAGCCAGGATTCGGTGTTAGATACATGAGCTCATGATGAAAGTGAGCCTCCCAGCCCAGTCTCTTCTTCATCTCACAAAAACAGAGCTCTACCAAGCTCAGCAAGAGTTTGGACCTTGAACCTAACAAGGTTAGACCTAACAAGGTCTATGTGGGTTGCACAATCAGGCCAGGAGGACACTGGTGACTCCAAGGTCTTAAACCTTTCTCAGTTAGTACACTGGACGTAGGATGATGTTCACAATAGTATTATTTCTGCTTACCTCTACAAGAAGATCATAATAAAAAAAATGAACCACAAGTATTCTGCCACCACAGTATTTAGCAACGGGTTTCAGCATCTACACTGCTTTATGTAAAAGGACAAAATAATCCCAGTTCTGCTTTTGAATGAAGTCATACACGAATCCCACGGAAAGATGTGTAAGTCTGCATAAGCAGAGGGTAACCAAATCACAACAAAAAAAACCTGTGGATGTTCCTAAGAAGCTTTCAAACACAGCAGAAGCCAGTTTGGATCCTATTTTGATTTCAGCTGCTGGCATATGTCTTCTCATGGAGGATGAGAACATGGGAACTACCAGACTCTGCCACAAACTCCGTCTTCCTCTACTTCCAGCAGCCATGGGATAAGTCCCTTCTCAGATCTAGGAGTCAGCAACGAGTTAACACTGGAGATTTCCCAAGTGGACTGAAAATTCATTACACGTTCTTCAAACCAGTCGAGCTATAGGCCTCAGAAAGCACTACAAAAGCCTGATTATTAGGCTCCCAAATGTAATTAATAAAGCATTTTCTTCACAGGAATATCCTGATCTATTTTAGATTCTCAAGTCCAGGCAGCAGGAACCTTCCAGGAGCTAAAGCTTCAATCAACCAAAGTGTTCTCTACACCTATTTCTTCACAGGACTCTCTGCACCCTCTTTCCCACTCTCTTTCTTCTACCAGAAATGCAATTTCATTTTAAATCCACTTACAGCTGCCACAATTACAGCTGCCGGTGCTGCGTTGTATCGATCCAGCTCTCCTGAAGAGAACGTCTGCTAATTATGACTGAGGAGGAGAGTCACTTCCGAAGGACTAATTTTGCACTAAGTTGCATCTCCAATGGCAACAGGAGCTGGAAATATTCATGATGGGCCCTCAGGGGAACGCCCACGAGTTGACTTTGGGCTGTCACGTTCCCAGTTCAGGCAATGGAGAAAAACTCCTCTGGAGCGGGCATCACACACCTAAATTGCAGCTCCTGCTCAGAGTCCCTCCCTGCAGCAGCTCCTCTATTCTCTGCAGGTCCTGCCGTAGTTCGATAAGGATACTTGGGATGCTGAATGCCAGAAGGCATTTCTCTGTGGGATAACAGGCAGAATTTGGCAGTAGAACGCAGTGCGACAGGAGCAAGAGGTTCCTGGATACAGCTTTGAGAGAAGGGCACGAGGAATTCAGTCATCCTTTCCAAATTCCTTCATCAATACTCAATTCTTGGCAAACCCTACCAGTAGCTATAATTAGAAAAAAAACAGAACAGGGACAATGGCTGATTCACCAGCAAGGAAACAGGACTTTTCTGAGCTTTATTTGTGAGTCAGCATCAGCTAAAGCTCTGGCAAGGGGCACATGGGTGAAAACGTTTCCTGGAGCTGACAGTAACGTCACGGTGAAACAGTGCCGGGTTCTGACCACGGGCTGTCACGCTCTTGGGCCGTGGAACGGCGATGCCTGTTTCCGCTCGCCCGAGCCGCGCCAGCCCTCCAGATGTCCTAAAGCAGCTCCTTGAGAGCGGCAGCTGTTCAGTCAACGGGCCACTTTGGCAGCTTTGACGTGCGTGTCAGATCCAGCTGCTTGATTGAAATGCAGGCTCGGCAAAGCTTCTGCTGCCTCCTACAATGAATGAGCCGCAGCAGGAGCCGGGGCCGTGCCAGCGGCCCACGCGCCAGCTCTCGGGGAAAGCTGCGATGCTCGGCTGGGTGGCACAGAGCCACGCTGCATCACCCAGCCTGCTGCTATGCCTCACCATCACGGCAGGAACACCATCCTCCCGGGGATCGAAAACATTGACTTTGGTCATCCCATGTGTCCTTCGAATAGTCTCTCCATCAGCCTTGAAAGCCTCAACATCTTGGTCGGGTTTAAGCCTCCGAACAGCCCCCTGGATACTTGAGGTTGGGTTTATTTTTGCCCAGGCTGTACAAAACAGGCTGTCTTATTTCAACTGTGACCACTTAAATAGGGTTTCACTCTAGAAACCACTCAAAACTGGGCCAATCAAATGCACTAGTGGTTTATGAAACTCTTAACCTAATACTAGTTAATGCACAGTACCTCAGCATATCAATTTTCGAGCAAACTGTGCCAGAAATTGGGAAGAAACTGTATGCCTTTTTAATTGCTTAATTAGAAAGGGAAAAAAAAACAAGTCAAGGAAACAGGAAAGCTAAAGAGCACGTCCCGGTCCCTTTGAAAGGGGAGTCTTTCCCCACATCAGGAATTGGCTATAACAATGCCATTAAAATTAAACTGAATGGTGAAAAACCGCAAGCACTCAAGCAAAGCCATACATATGGATTTTAATGGAGTAAGGTCACGTAGCTGTTTGCACAGACAGAGCTGTGCAGGGGCAGATAATGGATGAGCCGATGCAAAAGTGCCGTTTCCAGCCCTGTGCCGGTACGGTTACAGCTAATGAGCATTCAACTTTTTTGTATTGATCATTGCCTGGCGCAGTGAAGGACTCTGTGATTACACCTCCAGAGAGCAGCATGGGAGTGAAAACCATATTAGCTCCTAATGGAAGATCTGAATTAAATCTCTGTTGGTGACAAGGACGAATTTGGGCCCAGATAATTTCCTGAACGTAACACTGGTCATGTCTCCATGCATGGAGTTGGAGATCCACCTTGCGGACCAACCTCCTGAAAACCACTGATGGAGCAACTTAAGAATCATTTTCTCTGATATTACTACAAGCCCTCCTACTGCACAGTAGCCTTTCTAAGTACCAGAGCTACTTTCCATCTGAGATGCTACATGCAGTGTCCCAGATGCAGACTGACGACTGATGAGAGACTCCCAGAGCAGGTACCAGTAAATTCTGGTGTAAACTCACTGTGCAAGTGTGGATCTCACCTCCGTGAGCTTTGGCTTCTCCATTTAGAACGAAAAAACAAGAACATCTAAACTTGCTCCAAATAGTCACTGTTTGCAGAGTATGAGGAATGGCAAAATTTATTGCAAACACCCTTTCTAAGGAACTAGAAAGTGCTATTGAAGGGACCAGTCAATAAGAACAATTCACTGGACACTAAGAGATAAGTATATCAAGCAATGGAAATCTGAAAAGCTACTTTTAGGTACACCAGAACTAGTTTTTGCTTTCCAGCTTGTTCACTAGCGGTGCCTGCCACAGTCTGGGAATCGAGGTGGTTACAGAGCTAACCAAACCACAGATTTCAAGGCCAGTAGGCACCACCGTGTTATAAAGGTCTGGTTTTCTTCCCTGTACCACAGGCCAGGGGAACGTAAACCAAGCTGAACAATTAAGAGTATCCCCTCCCCAGCCTTCAGGCAGCTTGTGCCCACCTGAGCCTCACAGCAAGCTTTGACGGGGATCCGAGGAGCGCGTTTTACCTTTCTTGGTGCAGTTGGTCCCCTCGGGGTCTCGGACGTAGCCATCCTCACACTCCTCACAGTGAAACCCAGCGGTGTGGTACAGGCACCCGATGCACTCCCCGGTCTCTGGCTGGCACACGCTGGGAGACAGTGCTGGGTCCACGTTCCCGTTGCATTCGCACCTTACGCAGATGCTGTCGGAGTTGTAGTAGCCACCGTCGCACTCGTTGCAATTGGGGCCAGTGTACCCAGTTTTGCATTTGTCGCACCTCACGGCAGTGTCGCCAGGCTCTAAAGAATACAGAAAGCAAACGCGGTATGTGCCATAGCCCCTGGCGGAGAAACACCCGCGGTGGCATTTGTTCTGTGGGAACTGACCAGCAGTGACTACGACAAAAATCAGCAGCCACGGAGTATCAACTAATCTCAAACTTTAAACTGAAATTACAACTTCTGAACTGCAGAAGTTTTTTCTGTTCCTAGGGGGAAAAAAAAAGAAAGAAAAGCTTTGGGGGTTTCTGATGCCTCATATCAGCCTCCCAAGCCTTCTCAGCATTATTGTTAAGCAAACAGATTATTGCTGCTGAACATTTCCATTTCAAAGAGCTAATTTCAGAAAACAGCTGGAACTGTATCAGGGATGCTAGCAATCCGCAGCAACCTTTTGGCCTATACAAAGCCAGAAGTGGCTTGATTACGAAACAGATTAAGGAAATAAAATAGTTTTACCATATGTTTATTACACCTATGACTTCTTCTCTTAGTTACATGAATACAGAGCAGGAAAACTAGGGAATCTGCGTGCAGTCCCATGGGGATGTTCAGAAGAGGACTCACAGAGGTATGGATGGCTACGTGGCACTGCTGGCCATCTCCTGTATCTCTCCTGGCTGCCACAAGCTCAGCAGTTTCTCTCTGCAGAAACATGCAGGCTCTTCGGAGCCGGCTGCAGCCCGTAGTGAAGCATTTCTGATGCCCCCCACTGTGCAGCTGCTCTCACAAGAGAGAACACAAGCTCCAGAGACGCATCATTGCAGACACTGCTTCCAGCAAGGTGCCCCAGTTCCCACAAACAAGAGGTTCACGGGCCATAAGGCACTTTTCGGGCTGCTGCACTTTGAGTGGAAATTTAACTGAGAAGAGCTACATTCATTATCTGAGGAATTAGACCAAACGGAAAGCCTTACGTAGGTGGCAGGTACCAGTCGATGCCACGGTGGAGCAGGGGCAGCGCTGACAGGCGTTGGCAGGGGGGGTGCTTCTGTAGAAACCCTCCTTGCAGAGCTCGCAGTGGTCTCCCTCGGTGTTTTCCTGGCAGTGCAGGCAGGTGCCTGGGGAAGGGACAAGAGCACAAGCAACAGTTTGGCAGCAGGAAATGGAGCAGAACATTTGGAGCAGGAATCCGTGCGAAGCACTCTCAATTATCAGAGCTCGCAGGTGATTTTGGATACTCTCCAGCCGAAACACGACCCTGGCCTCTTACGACCTTCTGATAGTTGCTTCCCTGCTCCACATGCACACACAAATAACGTGAAAAAACAGGTAGTCTCAGCAGAGAGCCCACAGCACGCTGAAAGGTCAGTGCAGGTAAACACATGCTATCAATATTAAACAGTCCTCAAGGAAAGGGGTTTCAGTTTGCGTTTGTGCCAGCGAGCCACCATCTGATGCTTCCACCCCCCCCACTCCCACAAAGGGTTCCTCCGGTTTATGCTTTTGCCCTTTTTTGTGTGCAGCCTCTTCCTGCCCCGCAGAGCTGGTGGCTGGGGCTGAGGAACTGCCACTGTCCTACTCTGGGGACAGATGACTCCATCCCACCCGTGTGGCTCCAGTTCCTCCATCCTCGTTAGAGGCACAAGGCAGCCTCTCAGAGCTGCCTTGAGAGAGGCACAAGGCGACCTTCTCAGAGAAGGAGAGAACTAGGGGTTCACGTGAGTCACTTCCCCTTCCTGGGGAAGCCCCTGAATCAGAAAATCAATGTTCTGTGTCTTAGCAGAGGCTGTGTCCTAATGGCCCTCTAAATTGCATTTTTATACTATTGCGACCAAAGAAAGAAAAATCTCCCTAGTTACGGAAACACAGCCTCTATCAAAAGCCCATCCATCAACAGGAACATCCTATATCTCAGCAGCCTCCTCATCGAGGTGGCAGTGACCCGAGGGAAGCTTATATGATTAAATCCTGTGTAAAAGACTCTGAAAAGGCAACAGCCACCTTCTAGCAAACCAGGGTGGCACAGAGCGGTTTATTCACTGAATGTATGTAAGCACAGAGAGGAGATTCACTGAGCTAACCCAGCAGTGCTGCAGGGATATGGAAAAGCCTCATATCAACATTAACCACAGAAAAAAAATAATCCTGAATTAGATTAATGCTGACTGTTAAAAAAAGCAACACAGCAGATTTTCTTATTAATATTGGAACAGTTTGGCTCCCTTGCAAGCCCAACATGCTGCACAGCTTCTACTTTTCCCTCTCCACAGCGATGACTCCGCAGCTGAGCATCCTCGGTGCGTCCTTCCAGCTGACCTCCGTGCCAAGGGCAGGAAGGAAACCCCAGCAAAGCCCAGCAGCTGCCACTTCTGGGAAGCGGCTGATTCACCCCTGTGATGGGGCTGGCAGCACCCCCATGACTAAGGACACTTGCTTCGGCGTCAGCTCCCACACGCTGTTTGCTCTTCACCCAACAGCTTGTCAGCCACAAGCCGGTGGTTTTTGTGGGAGAGATGTCAGGCTACGAGGGGAAAATTAATCTGCTGCGCTGGGTTTCTCCGGTTGCAAACCTCAATCAGCCGCTTCAGCCGGATGCCTGGGACAGACCAGCTCGCAGAAGGTTAATTTGCCTGACCAGAAGGAAGGGTGCCTTGAACTGTGCTCTGCAGGTGTGAATGGTGGCATAAATCTGGAATCACACCTGCATTTTCTCTACAGTCTTGGTCATTTCAGGACCAATGTCTTTCCCATCAGTGGAAATTACTCGCATTTATCAACACCAACCCTGCAAAAGAGCTGCGTTTCCAATGAGTCAGCAACTTGCTCAGCTGTGCAACGCACGCAGGGGCTTGCAATCAGGTATCACTGTGGAAAGCCTTAATAATTAATAGCACTTCCCATCCTGATCATGCCCTCAGGAAGGATCAGAGCTCACTATACCCCAGCTGGGAAGAAGCAGCCAAACTCATTGCACAGACACAACAGGGGCCACAAGGGTCGTGTTGAAGGAAGCACTGTCGCCTGGGGAGCTCTGGCTGCCCAATTTCCAGCCCAATAATTTTAAATATTCCCCCTGGGCAGAGCGAGGCCGCGCGGAGCCCGTGGCAAAGCCGGCAGAGGGAGCCCAGAGTACAGCATTCATGCGAAAAAAACCTTGAAAATTTGACAAAGACTACAGACAGTTGATGTAAAGCTGGGGAGGTCACACAAAGTGCAGTCTCCAGAGCAGGCTGAGCGCGCTGCGTTTCTTATTAGACGTCAGATCTAATTTTTAATCAACTGCTCTCTGTGCTGGTTTTGTTGGGTTCCCCCACCCCTGGCAGCAAATGAGGCAGATGGAGGAAAATTTTAAAAAAAAGATATTTTTGTCAAATCAACAATAGGTCATTAACCAAAGAAGAGGGTTTTTCTTTGCAGTGCTGAGGTCGGCGCTGGACAGCCCCAGCAGAAGCGCTGCCTGAAGAGCCCCGTTCCCGAGAGGTCTGTGCTGTGTTTTTATTTCCAAAATCAAGAGAGGGGCAAACACTGAGGGAGAAAAGGGAAGCGCAGATTACCTTACTCCTTCACAAAGCCCACACACCCAGCTCCAAATCAGTACCGCAGCTGAGGAGCGCACAGCTTTAGGTATATTCTTACCTCCTTCAGTGCCCGTAGGACATAAGCACGTGAAGTTCAGTACAGCAACGGGTGCAGGGGTGCAGACCTGGTCCTGCTGTTATGCCTTACACTGAGCAGGATCAGGGCACTGGCTGAGCAGAGTCAGCACCGCGGCCGCCCGTTCCTCCCCTTCAAACCCACAGGCCACAAGGGAACAGACACCAACACACAAATTGCCCAGAAATACCTTTATTTGATGAGCTCTGCCTTTTTGCTAACTATGCAAAAACCCTGTGCGGATTTTAAAATATTACTCGTTTCTAAGCTCCTGGATGAATATTACAGCCCTGCCTTTCAGCCTGAAAGTTTTGATGAGAATTTGGATTTCTGAAGTGTGAGCTTTGTTGCTGAAGCGGGGATTGCGCAGGCAGTCACATAACATCGCTCCTCCGGGATCTCTCCTTTCAGCAGAGATGGGAAAGCAATTAGGTTCCCCCCTGCCCTCCCACAAGCTATTCAAGTACAGGTGCCTCGACATTTACACTCCATCAGCATCTGATTGAGTGAGAGACAAAGAAATAATCAAGGAAAATGAACGAGGAAAATTTGTAGGAACTGGGCGATATTGATTAGTTGCTGCCAGTTTTTTCCAGCACCGACCATGTTATCTGTGGCAATAAGTCACCTTACGTCAGTGCCAGTACCGTACATGTTTCCAGGTAAACAGTAGTTAAACAAAAGCTCCTTAAAAGCCCGTGTTGTGTATTTGTGTAAATGCAGAGAACAATAGAGCACTGATTTTCAATAGAGACTGCAGAATAAAGGCTCTGCATTGCAGCGTGGGGTAAATACGTGCCTTTATTGACTTCCTTGAGGAGAGGACTAGCTCTAGCCTTGCTCTGCTTTACGGTAAAGATGCAGAGTCCTCAAGGCAGAAAGACAAGAGGATGAGAGTGGAGGTCCACTGAATGAAAACAGCAAAAACCAGAGACAGGTAAAGTCTGCACCCACTACGGCCACAAGAGGATAGTTACCTGTCAAGCTGTTGCAGGTTTTGGAGCGGTTGTTGCACTGGCATGGCTCGCAGGTGGTGTCATTAAACCTGTAGTATCCATCACTGCACCGGTCACACTTCAGGTCCGTGACACCAACTTTACACTGGCATTTCCCAGAGCTGCACAGAGAAAAAACAAACAGTGAAATCTGCATGTGCTGGGAGGCATCCAAAGTACAAACCCGCGGTCAGGGTTTTGGACTCCCTTCGCAGAGCGGGGAACTCGGCACAGAAACGCCTGCTGGAAAATTGAAACCCATGGGCAACCATTTCCAAAAGGTGACGGGGAGTTCAACACAGGCTGAGCGTCTGCAAAACCAGTTGCCCTGACTGCAGTTTCCAGCTGGGTACCAGAAGTCATCACTCATTCTGGAAAGCCCTGGCCCAAAACCATCCCCATGCTTCAGCCCCCAGGAGATGCTTCGACAGCCCCTCTCCAGACCCAGCTCCATCATGGATCAGCCCCAGGTCTGGCAGGACCCTGGGGCTCCCATGATAACTGTGCCTGAACAATGAAATTGCACCCATGGATAAGCACCTCCCCTCCACGCTGGTGCCAAGCGGCACCTCCTGGACTTTCGGGCGAGTGGACAATTCTCTGCTCACCATCTGCTTTCCTGGCTCCCCCGAGAGTGGGCGCAGCAGCTCAGGTGTCTCGCTCGGGTTTCAGCCACCTGCACCCCCTCCGCTTCTCCTCCACAATCCCACCGATCCCCCCACAGCCACGCGGGCAAAGCCCCTCTCCCCAGTCAACTTCTCCACGCAGTAGGAGCCAGGGAAAAAGAGAGGGTTTTTCTTTCCCCAGTGGCTTCCACTCCAGCAAACCCCAGACAGGAGCCTGTTTACTTGGGCAGAGTCTGGCTGATGGAGGGTGGAGCCCTGCGCAGTTAAAATAGAGGATATCAGTGTTAGCTGGCACAAGCAAATACCAGGCGGCTATAAAAAGCAAAGGTTACCCTCATTCCCTTGACTTTCCATGCCAGTCTCTCCATGTAAAGGCTTCAAACCTATCACTTTCACAAACAACTGCATATACTAGCAGCATTTAGACTCAGAGAAATCACAGGAATGAATCAAATGCTCTTTCCCATCACTGCCCTGGCACAGCGGCTGCTGTCAACTGCTCGTCCCACCCACACACGTGGGACCTGCTGCCGCCCAAGCCAGGGATGACAGGGCACAGAAGTGCCTCTCCCCACCTCCTCAAGCCTCACGTGCTGCGCTGAGGAGCCAGGACAGCACCCAAATAAACGTGATTTGCTCTCCTCCAGGAGATGGGTTTATTTAAAGCTGCAGCAGACAAGGCGGACACTGTCCACGGAGCATCCCCTGCACACCAATGGACGGTCCTCTGAGTTCTGCCCCTGTATAACCTTCACTCTATTCACACATTTTTAAAATTCAGTATTTCAGGGTTCGGTGTGGCTGCACAAAGATAATCTATTGTTCTCCCTCGCTCCTCCTGGAGAAGAGTGAGCAATGCACAATTTGCTTCTAAAAGCCCCTGGAAAAAATCTGATTGAAACTCAGAGGCTGAGGCTCCAAATGGCTGATGCCATTGGATGTGTTGGTTTTATTTAAAAAGCATTTGATTGCAATGTTTTGGGGAAGATGTTGCTTCTGTTAGAAATTAACATAATTTAGTATTTCTGTTGGTCGTTTGCTTGCCAAAGGAAGAGGAAATACTCAAAGGCACACCAAAATACGGAACTCAGCCCAAGTGGCTACGCAATTAAATACTTCCCAAATGTGAAACTTTGGGCATATTCAGTGGACTGATTACTATAAGGAAAAAGAAATATAATGTTTCCTTGCTCTCTAGACCATTATCTGGAATTGCAGCAGGCAGATGCAGAATTTAAAGGGATGCTGTTAAGCAGCTCAGTAGGTTTGACTTTTAAATAGCTTTTCACAAGACCTAACATTAATCCAAACGTTGTCACAGTGTTTAAAATAAGAGCAAACAAAAAGCAGTTTGTTTTTATTTGCTTCTGACTGCTACCACACAGATATTCCTGTAAGAGGGCAGGGGACAGGCAGAGCCAAGCAAGGAAAAACAACCAATTTGAGGGGAATATCTGATATTTAGCCTGAAAACACCTCTTCTGGGGATGTGCCGTGTGAGTAGGACCTTAGAGGACAAAGCACTAGAGCTGTATAATCGTCACCCTCCCAGGGTTCCTCCTGGAGTCCAGGGAGCTTCGTTTTACTTTCTCCTGTCCCTCGATCAAGCCTTTATCTTAATGACACCCTCCTCCTCCTCCTCCTCCCGGCTGGCACCCTTCCATCCAGACTCCCACTTCATTTCTTTAAAGGAGGTTTGTTTCCCCAATAATTCTGCTAGAGCTCAACACAGCATTTTGGGGCAGTGTCCCTTGATTTTACCCGTTAGCTTAAAAATAACAGGAAAGAAATCTATTTTAAAAGAGGGAAGGTTAAAAAAAAAAAGACAGTTTTGGAAAGTTTGGTTTTAATGCCTCTTGAGCAGACCTTTTCTCAACATGTTACACATGGCACAGAGCCAAGTTCTGCATGTGCAAGAATTAAATCACTCAGCAAATATAAAGCTTTGCCTGTGGTCATTGCTTCCATAGAATAAAGCCCCCTTACAACACTCCTTTTCATAGCCCCAGTCCAGTAAAGGCTGTCAGACACTTTTTAAACCAAAGGTCAATGATATAAATGCATCAAAACCACACAAAAAGAAAAAAAAGTCCTGTTAACAGACCGATTGTGCCCATAAAAATCCAGAAACTTGAAAGAAAAGACCCACAGTTTAATACTTGCACAGTGAGAACTGAACTGGATTCTGACTATGAGCCAGGAATTTTAGGGGGGGAAGGAGGGGGAAGGGAAGAGGGAAACATTTTGATGCAGCACCATCAGTTGCTCAACTCCATTGCAGATGATGGTTAACTCCACTGAAGCCAGCCAATTTTTAGCTCTCACCAAAGAACTGATGGAAGGATGTTTTGGGACGAAAAGAGACAGCCAGTAACAAAAATCTCCCACCAGCCTCAGCTTCTATTAGATTTTTACAAATACCCTTACTTTAAAGACCATGGAGGTAGCGTGTGTCACCATCACATCATCCATCAACTCCATATACGTTTCCTAATGATTAAAACCACCACGAGAGATCCTGGCAGGAGGTGCAGGCAGCAATGAGGCAGCCGGCAGGGATCACACCGCGCGTGAGGCTCGGATCCGACACCAAGTGATCCGACCCTCCGGGGCCAAGGGCTACACACCAGGTCTGGAACCCCCTCAAGGTAGAAGCTTGTGCACTGAATCACCCTCAGCCCTGGGGCTTCACATGATGCCTTGGAGCTGCCATCTTGATGCCCGCGGGACGACAGCCTGGGGCTGGGCAGCCCCCGCCAGCAGGATTTTGACCCCGTTTGGAAGCGTCGTAAGAGCAGAGCACAGAGAACAGGTAACACCTCCCAAATCCTGTCTCGTGCCTGGCCCGAACACAGAGTATCCTGCGAGTAATTTTCTGCCAGGTCCGATGGCCGGGGAAGGACGCTCTGCCTGGGAGCCTGGGCACTGCCCTAACCCTGCACCGCTCGGCACAGGACAGCACGGGAACTTGAGGACTCATTACAAAGCAAAAAAATAAACCCAAACCAACAAAAACCAAGCATTAAAATATCCATGATGTGAGATAGATCACAACATGCAGTTGCATCTACAATGGGTCCCCACAGAGACAACCTGAAGTTAGCAGGGACACGACAGACACAAGATGGATGGGAAGACGGAGGACCGTAGCCTTCAGGGCTGTTGGGAGGCATGCTGTGCACGGCTTCATGGTGTAACAAAAAACCTTTAGCAAGCTCTAATCATTTATTTTCTTCTTTTTTTTTTTTTTTTTTTTTCCCCAGAGAGGAGGGAAGGCAGAAATTCATTTTCAATGTTTTCCCCAGCTGCAAGAAAAACCGGCACCCCCCCCTGCCACTGAGAGCCCAGGGCCAGCCTGACCAAGTCAGAGCCAGTCTAAACAGTACGGCACCGACCTTTTGTGCCTTTATTTTAAAAACATAGGAGACTGGCAAGATTTTGGGGGAGAGTCAGAGAAGCAGAGACCTCCTATGGGTCTGAAACCAGGGCATACCCATGCAGATGAGCCACACAAAAACCCCATGGCTCTGAAGGAGAGCGGTGTCGAACACATTCACCACCTTCATCTTGAAGCCCAGGGCATACGGATGCGCACCTCACACTGCAGCATCTCCCAGGATCAACCCCAGAAGACGGTCACACTGCCCCAAAACAGAGGAAAAGTGAGGGTTACAGCCAGCCCTTCCCTGACCCGGCAGCAGCTCCAGCTTTGCCTGCAGCCCCGTTCCCTCCCAGCCATGTAACCCTCCAGTCACGGATACACTCATCCCTCATCCCAGCAGGCCCGGAGGTGTTCCTGTAAAATACACAATTAACGCCAACAACAGCAGCAGTGCTGGGGCTGAATGAGGAAGAACGCCTTGCAGAACTGCGAGCATCTGTAAAACAACCCTCATGAAAAGGCTTTGTCACACTTTGATGGGATGAGACAAAAGGATGCTGCACAAGATTAGGAGGATTCAGAAGGGATGTCGCTAAAAATGGTGTGTTTCTCCAGCGAGCCTGGCTCCTTTTGTGCTGATTTTCTGTGATGCCTGACAGCAACCACGGGATAAATCTCTCTTACATTTTTCTGGGCAACGTAGAAAAGTTAGCATTTGGGAGCTCAACGCTCCAAGACACTTTTCCGTGGAAAACCAACACTATTAACACTCTGAGAACCTTCATAAACCGCGTGCTGATTTTCCTGCAGGTCAATCTGTTTGAATACCAGCACATGAGGAAGCAGAGAGCAGGAAGAAGCCCCATGTTGGAGTTCACCTCCTCACTCCCTTGGCTCAAACCAAAGCCCTCGGCAGCCAAAAACCACTTTGGTGGAAGGGCTAGCGCGACCACGGCCGAGCCCCGCTCAGAGCTGCCTTTGTGGCGGGTAGAAGAAGCGGGGCTTTATCGGGGCGAACATTGGGCCATTGTGCGCCACATTCCTCGCTTTGTGCCGGGGGACGGCATCTGTTTATATGGCAGCCCTCGGCGGAGCGGGGACACTTCACAGCTTT